TGTATATGGTCATTATAAGTCAGAATCAACTTGATGGCACTTAACAGCAACAACAATGGGAAAAGGACCCTAGGACCAGCAAGAGAGAACAGCATGAGCAGTGCAGATCATTGGACAATATCATTATATCACATGCAAATAAAATTCCGATGGGGATGTGGAATGAAGGATATCATTGCTAATGTCAGATAGCTCTTGACTGAAAACAAAGAATACTAGAAAGATGTTTACCTGTGGTTTATTAACTACGCAAAGGCTTTCGACTGTGTGGATCATGGCATGCTGTGGATAACATTGCAAAGAATAGGTGTTTCAGAACACTTAATTGTGTTCATAAGGGACCTGTACATAGACCAAGAGGCAAGTTGTGTGTGTTTTTTTTTTTTAACAAAACAAGGAGACACTGAATGGTTTTAAATCAGGACAGGTGTGCACCAGAGTTGTATTCTTTCACCATATTTATTCAGTCTGACATCCTAGTGTGGCACTGTAGCATAAGAACTGGACTGTGAGGTCAGTTTGAACTGCAAGGTGGGTTGAAATTCACCAGCCGCTCCTTGGAAACCCTATGTAGGGTCGTTACGAGTCTGAACTGAGTTTAAGGCACTTTGCAACATGCTAAGCAAATTATCAGAGAAGCTGGATTATATGAAGAATATGGTATCAGAAATATAGGAAGACTCATTAACAACCTGTGATATACAGATGATGCAACCTTGATTGCTGAAAGTAAAGAGGACTTAAAGTACTTACTGATGGAGATCAAAGACCACAACCTTCAATATGAGTTGCACCTCAATATGAAGAAAACAAAAATCCTCACAACTGGATCAATAAATAACATCATGATAAATGGTGACAAGATTGAAATGGTTAAAGACTACATTTTGCTTGGATCCACTATCCACAGTCATGAAAGCAGCATTCAGGAAATCAAATGGTGCATTGCATTGCATTGGGCAAATCTGCTGCACAAGATCCATTTAAAGTGTTCAAGAGCAAAGATGTCAGTTTGAGGACTTAGTTGCACCTGATTCAAACCATGGTATTTTCAATTGCAAGTGGTAATTTCATGGAAGTGGAGTACTGGTGTGGCACTGTAGGTTAATGTGCTGAACTGCAAAATCGGTTTGAACCAAAACGTCGGCAGTTCAAGCTCCCCAGCCACTCCTCAGAAACCCTAGACAGGGTCACTATGAGTCGGAACCAACTCAATGGCACTTAACAACAACAACAACATATGTAAGTGAAAGATGGACAATTAATAAGGAATACCAGAGAAGAGTCATTGCTTTTGAATTATGTTATCAGAAAATACCGTTGATTGCAGAGGACAAAACTTATCCATGTTGGAAGCAGTGTAGTCAGAATGCTCCTGAGAAGCCAGGAGGGTGAGACTTTGTCTTTCATACTTTGGACATATTATCAAAGGGACCAGTCCCCGGAGTGAATATGGTGACGTGGAGGGTCAGCGAAGAAGAGGAAGACCCCATCAACATGATGTAGTATCAATGGATTCAAATGTAGCATCGATTGTGAGGATGGCGCAAGGCTGGGTAGTGTTTGTTCTGTCGCACATATGGTCTTTATGAGTTGGAACCAACTTGACAGCACCTACCAACAACAGTAACATATCAAAATTTTTTTCTTGACATACTTCTCAGGTCCAGTTTGTTGGGGTTTTTCTTTCATTGCCTCTGTGCTGCTTTGATTCCATGTAATGGCAGCTTCCTTAATGCCATCTAAAGCAGAAGGCTTCCCTCTTAATGTAAGGCACTTTATTTAACTTTATTTAAAGTGAGATATGGAACCAGGAAGCATTTTTTTCTATCTAACAATTCAAAGGCTCAGATTTTTGTACTTAATGCCGTTTCATTTCTCCTTGCAAACTGGTTGGCCCTTTTGCATAGTACAGATAATTTATGACTGATGCACTGCTGATGGTGACACGCACTGTCTGGTCAGCACTATGTTGAGCTTCCATCTCCTCCAGGAAATGACCATAGAGGTTCGTTGACCAGAGAGAGCGAGAACAGTTCTATCTAGCATTGAAAATAATTTTTAAAAAGTATTTCATATATAATTTTATATTGTTTAATTGCCAGGATCACAGCAATATTCCTCTCTTACCATAAATTTAAACACTCTTGCTTCAGGTACTGGATTCAAAAAAGAAAAATAAACCCCCTGCTATTGAGTCCGTTTAGTCTCTTAGTGACCCTGCAGGACAAATAGAATGCCCTAGAGGGGCTCAGGGTTGTGAGTCTTTACTGGAACAGGCTGCCTCATCTTTCTCCCAAGGTTCAACTTTTAGTTAGCAATCCAATACTTAATCAGCAGGGTTGATTAGAAACCATTTGTTACGGTGCTTTTATGATAAAGGAGACCCCATGTTCTAAACAAGCCATATTGACAACAATGACAAAAAAAACATGTAAGATGAGTATTTATTCAAAAAATTTCCCTTTTAGTAATTTTTTCAAAGGGAATTTAGATTTCAACGAAAGTACTTGTATGTATGCCTTTCTCAGTTTTAATGAGTGTTTTCGTGTGCTATTTGCTGCAAATAAATATTCTGAAATGTTTCCTATCGCAGGGTATGAGGTAACTGTTAATAACCAACTGGAAACCGATCACTGTGCTGCTGGGAGCGGACATCCTCTATAAATAACAATGGGATTGAATGGGGAACATTCAGATTTACAAAGAAGAGTTTTACTAGTTTTATTTTCAGTGAATTTGTCCTATTTATGTGAGGACTTGCCTATCATTAATAAGTTTGAAAACAGTATCTGTTATGTCATTTCCATTTTTACACTGCACTGCTCCATGTGGGACATGCTGACCCCCTACCATACCACTGCAGTAGTCTCCTGTCTTGTCAATGCCAGTCCTTCCCTGCCTAACTTGCCCACAAAGCCAAAACCTCTTCAAGTTCCCCAACCTGTTCTTTGGTGGTTGGTTGTATGCTGTCAAATCGATTCTAACTCATAGTGACCCTGTATAGGATTTCTGAGGTGTAAATCTTTATAAGATTAGAAAGCCTCATCTTTCTGTTGTGGAGCAGCTGGTGGATTTGAACTGCCAACCTTGTGGTTAGCAATCCAGTGTGTAATCCACCATGCCATCAATACTCCTGTTCTTTAAGCTAAATCAATTCTTTACTACTCCCATCACCCTGATGTCCATTCTGCTTCTCTTTCTTTCTGTTTTGTTTCTTTCCATTTTAGGAAAATCAAAAATAACATAACTGAACACACAGAAAATTTCTACTTTAGCCACTAAACTATTCTACTAAATCATCCTTGTCCAAACTCTCCACAAATATGTACTCTCTTTGCTGAAAAAATTCCAGATGGTGTGAAGGAACCATTGCAAAGCTGCTTCATAATGTTTCTCAGATCTTTCCCACCCACATAAGTGAATGTACAACATCTTTACTTCTCTTGGGAACTTTGTACATTTATATATAGAGCTTTCCATATTATGCCTTGTATTATCATCATGTTTCCAATTAGTAAGGTCTTTGGGCTTGCAAAATTGTATCATGAGATATGCAGCATTGTTTCCATCACTAAATCCATGTTTTCCACCTGTTGTTGTTAGGTCTCACTGAATTGGTTCTGACTCATAGTGACTTCGTATGCACAACAGAAGAAGACACTGCCTGGTTCTGCACCATCCTCACAATTGTTATTATGTTTGAGCCCATTATTGCTACCACTGTGTCAATCCATTTTGTTGGGGTTCTTTCTCTTTCCACTTTACCAAACATGATTTTGTTCTTCAGGGACTGGTCCTTCCTGACAATATGCCAAAAGTACAAGAGACAAAGTCTCACCTTCCTTGTTTTCTAAGGAGTATTCTGGCTGTACTTCTTTCAAGATGATTTGTTCTTCTGGCAGCCCATGGTACTTTCAGTGTTCTTCGCCAAACCGTAATTCGAATGCATTGATTCTTCCATTTTCCGTATTCATTGCCTGACTTTCACATGCCTATGAGTCCATTTAAAATACCATGGTTTGTGTCAGGTGCACCTTACTCCTCCAACTGCTGATCATTTTTTTGTGTTTTTTATTGTTTGTTTGTTTCAAGCCTTTGCATTTTAATCACCAGTAATTATCAATTCATCTTGATTATGTATTTGATCAATTTCAGACTTTAGGAGCTGATAAAAATCTTTAATTTCTTCATCTTTGACATTAGATGTTAGTGTATAATTTTGAATAATAGAGTAACTAATCTTCCTTGTAGGCGTGTATTATCCTTTGCTGGCAGCATGTTACTTCAAGATGAATCATGAAGTGTTCTTTTAGACAATGAACATGAGCCATTCCTCTTTAATGTGGCGTTCCCAGTGGACTATATGAGCAGTCCATTTCTGCTCACAGATACCTAGGATATCAATCTTTGCATTTCATTTGATTTTTGACGACTTCTAATTTTTCTAGATTCATACTGTGTACATTCCACGTTCCTATTATTTGCAGCTGTTTCTTCTCATGTTGTGTCATGCCACATCAGCAACTGAAGGTCCCAGAAGCTTTACTCCATCAATGTCATTAAGGTCTACTCTGTTTTGATGGGGCAGCTCTTCCTTAGTTACATTTGAGTGCCTTCCAACCTGAAGGACTCATCTTCCAGCAGTGTTATCAGTCAGTGTTCTGCTGGTATTCATAAATTTTGAACTGGCTATAGCTAGTAGATTGCAAGCTCTTTAAGAACAACATCTGTGTTTTAGTTTTATATCCCTCGCAGCACCTGCTAGCAGGGTCTGTTCATGGTAGGGGCTAAGAAGTGTTAAGTGAACAGTTTACTCTTTTAAAAGGTAAGTTTAAGTGTACAGTTTTTGTGATGTCCCTTTGTATTGTTTATATTTTCTTTCATAAAAATTTCTCTAGATTTTCAAAGTACAACAGCAGCCCCTTTTTATTAGCTAGTTTAATCTTGCTTTTAATTGAATGTCTTCAATCAGTAAATTCTATTCTCTTTCTTGGTAGTCTCGTGTGCAAGCTGAACACAAGGACCACCATACTGGCAGCTACTAACCCTAAAGGGCAGTATGACCCCCATGAGTCTGTGTCTGTGAACATCGCACTTGGTAGCCCACTCTTAAGTCGCTTTGACCTGATTCTGGTTTTGCTTGATACCAAGAATGAAGACTGGGATCGTGTAATATCCTCCTTTATCTTAGAAAACAAAGGTATGTGAAGACAAACTATTCAGAGGGGCAAAGTTTAGCCATAACCAAAATAAATTACATTTGAGGAATATGAAGCAAATGGCCAAGGTAATCTACCTAACAGGACAATAGAGATAAGATTAGACAGAAAGCAGTAAGCTAGTGGAGCTAGTTCTTCTGTTACGTTCTATCAAGTTGGTTCCAATTCATAGCAGCCCTGTGCAGGGTTTCCAAGGAGCAACTGTTGGGTTTGAATTGTCAGCCTTGTAGTTAGCAGTCCAATGCTTATCCTATAGCACCACACCCACCAGGGGGCCCCAAAATAATGAGCAAAAGGAGTAGAGCCTTTCTCTACCTGCCATTGATTAAATCTCATCATTGTGAAGTATGTCCTTGGTAATGATGGGGCAATCCTAAGATATATAATTACTACTCACCTCTTGGCACACAAAGAAACCAAGACAGAATAATGCAAGAGAAATTTCTAAATGTGGATTTCTCTCTAAAATATATTAGATAGACTCAAATACTCTTACTATAGGAAGACCATCATTATTTTAAATAATTTTAGCCTCTCTAGGAAGTTTGCCTATAATAAGCTTAGATTCTAAGACTGCATATTCCAGAGTTATATGAGCAAAGAACAAGTCTGGCTTTGTTGTTGTTAAGTGCTGTTGAGTCAATTCCGACCCGTAGCAACCCTGTACAGAGTTTCCGAGGAGAAGCTGGTGAGCTTGAACCTCCGACCTCGCAGTTCAAACAGCTTTGCAGTCTGGTGCATTAACCCACAGCGCCACACCAGGACTCCAGTCTGGCTTTAAACAGCCACAAACCTGCAGGTCACCTTTTTTTTATAAAATGATTACAAGAACTTTACCAACTCTTTAAAATGAGATGTCTGCCTCCTCTTAAAAGTGACTAACCTGTTACCTGATATATACAGATTACCCAAGCAAATCAGAGAAACTTTGGAGCATGGAAAAGATGAAAGCCTACTTCTGCCTCATTAGGAATCTACAACCAACACTGTCTGATGTGGGTAATCAAGTTCTTCTCCGGTACTACCAGATGCAACGGCAGAGTGACTCCCGGAATGCAGCCCGGACAACTATCCGCCTGTTGGAAAGCTTGATACGATTAGCAGAAGGTTTGTTTCATTTAACAGAAGAGTGCCTCCTGTGTGTATGTATGACAGGAGCTTGGTACTCTGGATTTAAAGATGAACAGGAGTAGTCCCTACTCAACAATACCAACAACGAAAGTCCTCATGTTGTTGTTTGTTGCTGTCCCATCCGTTCAGACTCATGGTGATACCATGTGTGTCAGAGTGGAACAGCATTCCCTAGTGTTTTTAAGGCTGTAACCTTTCAGAAGCAGATCATCAGGCCTTTCTTCTGAGGTACCTCTGGGTGGGTTCAAATTGGCAATCTTTCAACTCATAGTTGAGCACTTAACCTTTTGCACCACATAGTAGGAACTCCTTAGGTTCTCATTCATTGTTGTTAAGTGCCGTCGAATCGGTTCCGACTCATAGTGACCCTGAATTAGGGTTTCCAAGGAGCAGCTGGTGGATTTGAACTGATGATCTTGTAGTTTGTAGTCCACTGCTGATCCTACAGTCACCAGGAGTCCATCACAGCTCTGAGCTGTGAAATCTTGGCCCTCTGGGAGGAGATTGTGGGTGTACAGTGGAATATAGTATCATTAAGAAAGAAGAACCTTTGTGACATCTCAGGGCCTCCTGTAACTGAAGACATCATTCTGAAAACCTTATTATTGATGCTTTGTTTCTCGATGGCAACTCTTATAAACATTTTGGGTGGAATAGTTCCATATTTGGAATTGTTTCTAGCATAGCATCTCTGATTCTTGCTCTCTAGTTGCCAGTTGCAAACCACAACCCCCACCCCACTGCATCATGTGATAACCAAATTAACAATGCTATATGCCTAATTTGATCTCTTTGGTATAAAACTTAACCTGCATACATACAGCTAATATGCATGTCAGCCCTTTTTATATTTAGCTATTGTTAAATAATTCTTTATTTTAAATAAAAATTATTCACATGAACTATGCAGAGTATTAAACATAAGTATTATGTAATGAAATAATATAAGCTATATAAAAAGTACTATAAAACTTTCTTGTTTTCAAGGATTTTTCTAGCTAATATTGGGCAAGAAATATCTAAAATTCAGGCTTGCTAATTTGGTAGTTTTGAAAAGCTCATAGACCATAGATAAAGAGAAAGGCCAGAGATGAGAAATGAGGTTTAATTTTTTTTTTTGTATTTTTATAATAAAAACAGAATTAAAAGTTGATGAATATGAATTACATGTCTAGAACCCACAGTATTTTATTACATAAATACACAAAATTTGCCATGAATGGTGCAGAAAAACTAGGGCCATTAGTAGAGAAACAACCTCAAAGCTAGTTGAACTGTAGACGTTTTGTTCTTCATGAAAAAAATTGTTGAGGGTGAGGTCAGGTAGAGAATTGTATTTATCACGTCAAATATTCATTTAAAAAAGAATAGTTCCTATTTTCATAGTTCAAATGGTTTGTTTTCTTAGCTCATGCTCGCCTGATGTTCCGTGATACTGTAACTTTGGAAGATGCTATCACCGTAGTGTCAGTGATGGAGTCCTCAATGCAGGTAGGTGTTCTTTGTGACCTAATGTTGGACCTAGGAGTCCTGGTGTAGCGCTGTGGGTTAATGCGCTGGACTGCAAAGTCTGTTTGAACCACAAGCTTACCAGCTGCTCCTTGTAAACCCTATACAGGGTCGCTATGGTTCAGAATGGATTCAACAGCACTTAACAACAACAACAACAATGTTGAACTCTAATGATACCTTTCTAGAGAAAAAAAAGACTAGTTGATTTTATTCAGTGGTTGTTGAGAGACAGCAGAATACACACCAAACAAATATTTCTCCTTGTGCAATTCAGGGACACTGATGAAATTCCTCCAGTGCAGCCATTCTCACACTCCACCCCTAGTAACAAAGCTACTGCCCTCCCACATTCTTATCTCTTGAGTTGCTGTTGTCACTTTGATCCCACATAGATCTGTTTGTTTTTGTTCTATATTTACTTTTTATTGTGATTTGAGTGCAATAAAAATTCATGTAAATTTTGTTTCAGACATGGATTACAATTCCTACAATGTAGAGTCTCTTTTCCCACTTCCTCCCTATGTTCCTATTTCTATTCCTCCTCCTTTCCTCTTGCTTCCTGTTTCAGCTTTGTTGTTGTTCTTAGGTGCCATCGAGTTAGTGCCAACTCATAGCGAACCCATGCACAACAGAACAAAACACTGCCCATGCCTACACCAACCTCACAATTGTTGCTACATTTGAGCCCAGTGATGCTGCCACTGTGCCAGTCCATCTCTTTGGGGTCTTCCTCTTTTTCTCCAACCCTCCACTTCATCAAACATCCTTCTCCAGGGACTGGTCCTTCCTGACAATATGTTCGAAATATGAGAGACTAAGTCTGGCAATCCTGGCTTCCAAGGAGCATTCTGGCTGTACTTCCAATGCATATTTGTTTGTTCTTTTGGCAGTCCATTATGCTTTTAATATTGTCTTCAAACATCATTATTCAAATGCATTAATTCTTCTATGGTCTTCCTTATTCACTGTCCAACTTTCACATGCATATGAGGGTATTGAAAATACCAGGGTCAGGCACACCTTAGTCCTCAAACTGACATCCTTGCTCTTGAAAACTTTAAAGAGGTCTTGTGCAGAAGATTTGCCTAGTGCAATACATGTTTGATTTCTTGGTTGCTGCTTTTGTGTAGATGGTTGACCTGAGCAAAATGAAGTCTTCAACAACGTCAATCTTTTCTCCATTTATATGGATGTTGCTTATTGGTCTAGTGGTGAGGATTTTTGTTTTCTTTATATTGAGGTGCAACCTATTCCAAAGGCTGTGCTCTTTGATCTTCATCAGTGAGTATTTTCAGTTCTCTTCACCTTCAGCAAGCAAGGTTATATATATAATCTGCGTGTCACAGGTTGTTAATGAGTCTTCCTCCAATCCTGATATTTGTTTTCACATAATCTGGCTTCTCAGATTATTTGCTCAGCATACAGATAGAATAAATATGGTGAAAGAATACAACCCTGGTGCACACCTTTCCTATTTTTAAACCTTTTCAACCTTCCCTTCTTCTGTTTAAATGACTGCCTCTTTGTCTATGTACAAGTTCCTCATGAGCACAATTAAAGTGTTCCAGAATACTCCACAATGTTGCCCATTGCTGTCATGCTCCACATAATCAAAAGTCATTGTGTAGTCAATAAGTTACAGGTAAACATCTTTTGGAAATTCTCTGCTTTCAGCCAAGATCCTTCTGACGTCAGCAATAATGTTCTACGTCCTCTTCTGAATCTGGCTTGAACCTCTGGAAGTTCTCTGCCAGTGTACTGTAGCAGGCATTTTTTAATGATCTTTAGCCAAATTTTACTTGTATGTGATATTAATGAGATTGTCCAATGATTTTCACATTCTGTTGGGTCACCTCTCTTTGTGATGGGAACAGATATAGATCTCTTCCAGTCCACCGGCCAGCTAGCTGTCTCAAGTTTCTTGGCATAAAGGCTTGAGCTTTATCGCTGCAAAAGCTGTTCTTTTGATCTCAGAGGAGTATGTATCCATTTAGTGCTCTTGTTCACATTATAGGACTATGCATTGGTTGGTTGAAAGTGGAGCCATGGGGCTAAGTTCCAGGCTTAAACATTGACTAGTGGCCATTGTTTCAGGGATTCCACCAGTCTCTTATCAGACCAGTAGGCCTGGTCTTTTCTACAATTTTAAGTTTCTTTCCAAATTTTTCTGCCTCTCTGACCAGGGCCTTCTATTGTAATCCCTTTCAAAGTGCTTAGTAATGGTAGCAGTGTGCCATGTAGTCCTTCTGGTCTCAGGACTAAGGAGGCCGAATTTCTTGTGGTCTGTTAGTCCTTTGGACTATTTGTTTCCATATGTCTTTGATTTTCTTCACTATTCTTTGTTTTGGACAAAGAGAGGCCAATTGCATCTTAGATGGCTACTCACTAGCTTTAAAGACCCAGCCACTACTCACCACAGTAGGGTATAGAACATTAGCTTTGAAAACTATGCTATGCCAATGGAGTAAACTGTCCCCAAGACTTCAGTCCTAAGCCCACAAGCCCAGTGACTTACTACCACAAGGTGTTTGGTTATAGTTAAGAAGTTTTCATAACTCTGCGCTCTGATTCTTCTGCTGTATATATAGCTATATCTGCAGCACATACAGATAGATACATAGAAATGTCCTCTGCCAAACCAATGTATGGTAATAGGTGTAGTTCTGTCCACCTACTAATACTTGTTCAGTTTGCCTATCTGCCTATGTATCCAAACGTAGATTATTATTATTGCTGATGTTGTATGATTGTGTCTTAATGTTGTTGTTGTTAGGTGCCATCGAGTTGGTAACGACCCATAGCGTCCTTATGTACAGCAGAATGAAACACTGCATGATCCTGGGCCAACCTCACTACTATTGCCACGCTTGAGTCCATCGATGCCAGTCCACTTGGCCAGTCCATCTCATTGGGCGTCTTCCTCTTTTTCTCTGAACCTCCACCTTACCAAACATGGTATCCTTCTCCAGCGACTGGTCCCTCCTGACAATGTATCCGAAGTATGAGAGACGAAGTTTGGCCATCTTGCTCCAAGGATCACTCTAGCTGCACTTATTCTAAAACTAATCTATTGGTTCTTTTAGCAGCCCACTGCACTTTCAGTATTCTCCAACACCATAACTCAAAAACAAATTCTTCTAAGGTTTTCCTTATTCACTGTCCAGCTTTCGCATGCATATGAGGTTACTGAAAATACCGTGGCTTGGGTCAGATGCACCTTAGTCCTCAAGCTGACATCTTTGCTCTTCAACGCTTTAAAAAGGTCTTGTGCAGCACATTTGTCTAATGCAACATGTCGTTTGATTTCTTGACTGCTGCTTCCACAAGACTTGATAGTTGATCCAAGAAGAATGAAGTCCTTGACAACTTCAGTCTTTTCTCCATTGATAAGAATGTTGTTTTTTGGTCCAGTGGTGAGGATTTTTGTTTTCTTTACATTGAGATGCAATCCATACCAAAGACTGTGCTCTTTGATCTACATCAGTAAATGTTTTAAGTCCTCTTCACTTTCAGCAAGCAAGGTTGTATCATCTACATATCGCAGGTTATTAATGAGTCTTCCTCCAATCCTGATGCCACATTTTTCTTCATATAACCCAGCTTCTCGGATTATTTGCTCAGCATACAGATTGAATAAATATGGTGAAAGAATACAACCTTGTCGCACTCATATTTTAATTTTAAACCATTCAGTGTTCCCATGTTCTGTTCGGACAACTGAATCTTGGTCAAGGTACAGATTCCTTCATGAGCACAATTAAGCATTTGGAATACTCATACTTCACAATGTTGTCCATAGCTTGTCATGATCTACACAATTGAAAGCCTTTGTGTAGTCAACAAAGCACAGGTAAGCATCTTTCTTATATCCTCTGCTTTCAGCCATGATCCATCGCACATGAGCAATGATATCCCTCATTCCACGGCCTCTTCTGAATCCAGCTTGAACCTCTGAAAGTTCTTTGTCAATGTATGATTGTAGCCGTTTCTGTATTACCTTTAGCAAAACTTTACTTGCTTGAGATATTTAAGAGATTGTCCAGTGATTTCTGTCTTCCGTTGGGTCACCTCTCTTTGGAATGGGCACAAATATTGATCTCTTCCAATCAGTCAGCCAGATAGTTGTCTTC